ACTCTTTCCTGCACATGTGGGTCCACTCTTGAGTGTAAAGAGTGTTTTATTTGTTATTGAACCTCCAAAATACACTGCTTGTTAAATATTTGTTCACAATTTTGTTTTAGTGTAAATATCCTTATTTTATCTAAATTCTCTACTTTAAAACACCATATTAGTTATAAACAGGTTTTTTTTTTTTCTGATTTCTTGCATTTGTGGTATAATACCAGGCTTCAAATTGGATAATCCAGTAAAAATACTGTAAGGCACTGCCGACATTGAAAGAAAGGTCTCTCTTAGTTTCATTTCATTATACTATTAATTCGCTATCATATTACTTTTATTTCTTTTTAATGTGACATCTACATAGCTGATTGAGTATGCAGTCTATTATGACACAGGGATTTTCCATAGTCTCTCTTTAATAGATTTGTGTTTTTATGTTAAAAACCTATGTGTTCAATTCAAGAACCTTCACTTAGTCATGAAAAAGATATCAGACTGCTCAATAACATAGCAAGTAAAATTCACATCATCATTGAAAATGTCAGTATTGAAGACAAAAAGTTGTTGCTTATCTATTCAGGATATTTCATGGTCTGCAACTATTAGTGAACTGAAAAGCTGCGCTGGTTTGAAAACTTTAATGAGTTTATATGTAAAACTTATAACAAAATACAATTTTTTAACTTTTTAAAGTCTACTGTGGAATATAAATAAACAGTTCAGGTTTATGGTACTTGCATTTTTTTTTCTGTGATTGGAAAGTAGCTATTGGTTAAATCACAAATAATTTTTGGTAATTTTTTTTTCATTAGTGCTTTCATGTTGGCCATTGTTTCTAGTTCTCTTTAGCCTTTATCTGTTGTTGTTATTGAAGATTTACATCTATTTATTAACATATTCAAGCAACTGAATAGCACTAAAGCTCTATGAGTTATTGAAGGAGAAAGAACCAAAAACATTTTTCTCCACCCTACTGTCATACCAAGAAGGGTATCTTGTAACTGCCATATTTCAGTTGACTATATTTGTCATTAGCTTAACATCCTGAATACCAACACATGCACATGTAGATATGACATATACATTTGTGCTCACGGATACACATAACTCCCACACTCATATATGTATTCACATGGCATACATGTATGTTATTAAGCAATAACAATAACAATGCTTTATATTAATAAAGCCTTTTTTGACACGATGAAAGGGTAAAGAAGCAGGTTTCAATGTGTTTCTCTCATTATTTTTAAACATAGTACAAGAGAACATAAACTCAAGAATTCAAAGAAATTCCACAAATAAAACCACTCAGATAGATTTTTTTTAAAAAAAACTGATTTGAATATCAATATCAAGTTATTAATATGTCTGAATATGTTTGAATCATTTTCGGAACTGCAATGAGAAAAATGTGCTTATGAGACTGACAATCCCTCTGCCAGCCAAGGTCACACCAAAGGATAATGAGTAATGTCAGAATAGAACTTAAAAAAGGATTTAAAGACTTCTGATTTTTATATAAATTGTTCATTTAGTTAGAAAATCTCTTCCCATAATTGCTTCAATTGCAGCTAGATGAGGATTTCAAGATTTTCATTCCAAATTTGTGAACTGATGTTGTCCAAAATGATCACAGAATTTTAAAACTGGAATTGATCAGTAGTATTATCTGGTCCAGTGCCTTTGGTTGGCAGATGAATTGATGTAAATTAATTATCTAAAAACTTTGTAGTTTAGAGAATGAAAAAAAGAGAGTTATTACTATTTCGAGAGAGGAAAGTGAAACGTAAAGATATTAAATAAGTTGCCAGTTTTGTCAGAACTTGTTACTAGCAGTCAGGACTAAAATTTAGTCCACAGATATGTCATTTAGGGTTTCTGCTATCCTATCTTATCTTGATACTGTTGATGGTTCTAAAGTGTCAGCTGGATGTGAAAAGATACTAATTTAATAAGAAAGAGATATATTTCTTGGATCTTTGGATAGCACATGTATTGTCATGCCATGTTGACAGTAAAGGTGGGGTTCTGAATGTCACTGCTTGAAGAGTCTTGAGGTTTATTGAGCTGAACTCCAGAAGGAAAAGGACAGTGTCATTTCAGTATGATGTATGTTTAATGGACTTTATTTTAGTTGTAATATTTTGACTATGCAAAATAAAATAAGATTTTTTTGTTACAAAATATATTTATAGGAATAAGTACAGTTTCTAGCCACACTGACTAAACAAATGTAATTACTCCGAATGGACTCTAAATAGCTTTCAACATTTCATTAAAAAGCAATTACATCTGAGCCTTCCCAGAGCTCTCAGCACGGCTTTTAAAGAAGAAATTACACAAACAGGTGAAATCAACCATTATGAAATATAACCTATATTCCTAAAGAGTAAGGCTCCACAGTGGAAGTGGAGTGGAATGAAGTAGGGGAGGTTTAAGACAGGTGATAAACATGTTTTATATTCAAGGTAACTGTCCTAAGAGAATTTAGCATGCTTACTCAAGGTAAGTATATTTTTGAAATGAAAACTATCTAAATTTTATAATGGTATGAAGCAGCACAACATTCATGAGAGATTTCCTAAAAGTTAAGTAAAAAATGATCTCTTGTAAATCCATATTTAAAAAAAAAATTAGATGTCTTAAAATCAAAATGTAACTGCATGCTCATCTATATTTAGAAAGGTTATAATTGGTTAATCAACACTATTGAATGCTTACTCTGTGCCAGCCACTGCTCTAAACACATTATGTATATCCTTCCAGCAATCCCATGAGGTAGTTGTTACCATTATAACAACTCAGTTTTGTAAATGGAGAAACAGACACAGAGAATCTAAGTAATTTGTTCAAGGTCAGCAACCATCAATGGAAGGTGAGGATTCAGACAGACAGTCTGATGCCTAAGTCCTTGATTTTAACTGCTTTTATATGTTATACATTTACTAGTAAGAATCCTGTGTGCAGACCTGACACTTGTCTGGGAATTTAGAGGTGCAAAGAATGATGAGCTATTATCATAACAACTGGGCATAACTTTATAAATTAAACTAATTTGCCTTTGGGGCTATGCTTCCAAAGATGGCTGAAAAAATGAAGACATCAGTAATCACATGGTACTATAAATCATAACAACATATTTTAAGTAGGAGTTCCTAACTAGGAACTAGGGTCTTTGGTGAATTCACAAACCCCTTGTGATTGTTATGTCCCACCAGTTGAAGATGTGAGAATGTCCATCTGAGCATTTTTCTAGGGAAAATGTTTCTGTCTTTTGTTAGATTCTTAAAGGAATACATGGCTTAATGAATGTCTAGAACAGGGATGACCAAACATTTTTTTTTTGTAAAGGTTGAGATAAAAATATTTTAGGCTTTGTGGACCTTAGGATCTCTTTTGCAACCACTCAACTCTGCCGTTGCAATGTGAAAACAGCTGCAGACAATTCACAAAGGAATGAGTGTGGCAGTGTTCTAATACAACTTTATGAACATTTAAATGTAAACTTTATATAATTTTTATGTGACACAAAAATATTGTTTCTTTGATTGTTTACCTTTGATTTGAATTATTCAGAAATGTGTTTAAAAAGGCTTTCTTAGCTCAGGGATCATAAAGAGCAAGTAACACTCCACATTTGGCTCATAGGTCATAATTTTCCAGCCCCTAGTTTAGAGCAAGTGATTCTTAGTTTAGAATTGTGGGGATCATCCACGAAGTTTCTGAAATGTAAATTGTCAGGCCTCCCTGCAGATCTACTGAATCAGAAACTCTAGAAATGGGCCAAGCAGTCTGAGTTTTAGGAGTCTTCTAGGTGAAATAGATCATACTAAAATATGAGAGCCACTGGTCTAGAGTCATGGCTCCAGACATTCAACTCATTCATTTCTTCCTTCATTCTTGCAACAAATGATTTTTTAAACTATTATTTAAAAAATAGTTCAGGGGTACATGTGCAGGTTAGTGATACAGACAAATTGTGTCATGGAGGTACAGTGTACATATTATTTTTGTGATATGCATAGTCTCAGATAGGTAGTATTTACATAGTCTCCCTCCACACTCAAGTAGGCTCCAGTGTCCAGTGTTCCTTTCTCTGGGTCCATGTGTACTCAGTATTTAGCTCACACTCTTAAGTGCCAACATGTAGTGCTTGGTTTTCTGTTCCTGTGTCAGTTTGCTTAGGATTATGACCTCCAGCCTCATCCATGTTGCTGCAAAGGACATAGTCTCATTCTCTTTTTATGGCTGCATAGTGTTCCATGGTGTATATGGACCGAATTTTCTTCATCCAATCTACTGCTGATGGGCATTTAGGTTGACTCCATGACTTTGCTGTTGTGAATAGTGCAGTCATGAATCTGTGTGTGTGTCTTTATAGTAGAACAATTTATACTCCTTTGGCATATACTTAATAATGGGATTGCTCAATCAAATAGTACTTCTGTTTTAAGTTCTTTGAGAAATTGCCACACTACTTTCCACAATGGTTATACTAATTTACATTTTCACCAACAATGCATAAGTGTTCTCTTTTCCTCTGCAACCATGCCAACATCTGTTGTTTTGACTTTTTAATAACAGTTTTTCTGACTGGAATGAGATATTCCAGTTTCAATTTGTATTTCTCTAATGATTAGTGATGTTGAGCAAAAAGTGATTTTTGAATGGTTAATTATATTAGACTGGGAATACAGTGAAGTTTTTACTATTTTTGGTCTTTATAGATGCAAGGATAATCACCTTATAAAACAGGAGTTGACAGCTTTCTGAAAACACCTTACTTTTTGAAATATATTTCATATATAATCACTTGATGATCCTATACATAAACACACATATCTGAAACAAAATAATCACAAAGTTGTATGTACCCTCAATATATGTGATGCACCCTGATATTATATTTTACTCGATTTCTAATGTATTCAACCTGATACATTGATTTTACACTTCCACTATGAGATCACAACTTATCAAAAGATACCACAATAAAATGTGCTCACCAGTGCAAATTCCTTGTTGAGAATCATCTGTTCTACTAAAGATGACTCATTGTGGAAGAGGTGGGGTTGCATGTGGCTCCACATGTGAGGAAACCACCAGAACTCATCCACAGACCGAAGTAAAAGGTCATCCCCTTCATCTTCCTCTTCAGTCCCTGTAAAACATAAAGTTAAAATAGCTTTAGTAAAAACTTCTGACTAGCTTAAAGGTTATTTTTGTCAGATTTATGTTATTTTTCATGCTCCTGGTATATATATCCAATTCTGTGGGCTTTTTAATCAGAAAAAAAGACCACAGTCTAAATTGAATCAAAGACAAGAAGACTTGGGATTAGGACAGGTTGGGTAGGCACAGCTAACCCCAGGTCAGACAGTTGTTTAATTTAAAATTTAAGGGTATTTTACATCCTTATATTTGAAGGATAATTCTCAAATAATTGAACATAAATTTTAACTCATAAAATTTGTTAATTTTTTTCTGATTACAGAAATAACATATGCTTATTAAAGAAATGTGGAAAGCACAGGCAAGTAATATACAAAACCAAAAAGCAAACACAAAAACAAAAACAAAAAACCTACAAGACCATCTTCTAGAGTTAACCAGTGAAAACATTTTTGTATTATTTTCAAAAATCTTTTCCTACTTATATTTTAAAAGTTTATCTCTTGCTGTACTACTTTTGCACGCTTACATTTTCACTTAATGTTATACATATCAAATTTCCCATTTTAAAATAAATATTTCATAAAAACTAAACAATGAGTCTGATAACTGTTTATAACATAAATGTGACCTGAGAATTTAAAACTAGTATTTCTTTTTCTTTTGGGAAATTTTTTTTTAACATCACCCAATACATGGGAAATAAAAGCAAAAAAAAAAACAATATTGTTATGCCATAGTTAAGAAAAAAACAATTTACTTCTAAGGAAATTAATTATATTGCAACTACCCAAGAATATACACAAATGAAATGATAAGGTTTTGGTATGATTTTGTATAATTTTACTATATTCAGCTCAATTTACAAATGTTGTGAATCAATAATGTAAGAATTAATTCCTGCTTGCTCTCTTACTACTTAACTATATAAATAAAGTAAAACAGTAAGTCCTGGCTTATAGTGTGGGGTGTATTATTTGGTTTATTCTTTCATAAAGTAGTATGTTTTACAGATGGGTGTTTGATTTTTTTATTCTTTTTACTTAAATTCAGGGAATAAATATTAACGATTGTTATAAGAGTTTTCTCTGAATGTTCCATTTGTGTGTACTAAAACAAACATATCCATGGTCATGAAAGTAGCGCCATGAAAGGATTAAAGCATGTATTTGGTGTCACTCAGTACCTGGAGAAGAGTACCTAGTTTTGCCACTTAATTAACTATGTGACCTTGGACAAGTTGACTTCTCCAGGTCCTAGTTTTAAAATGGGATTATAAATACCTATTTTACAAGGTCTTAGCCAAGAGTCAATGAGATCAATTTATTAAAGCACTTAATATTGTGACTTGCAAACAGTAAGCACTTTTTGAATGTTAGGATCTCCTTAAAAATTCTATCTATTGCTTTATGCTTGCTATGTTTTGAATTTAAATTTATTCACACTTTTTAGAATCTTTGCCTGCCTAGATTATACAGTCAAGGACTGGATTCCTCTACCCTGTACTGTAATATGCCACTTTCCCAGAGCAGTGAATAAATGAATAATTTAATTTAGTCTAAATTTAACAAAGTCAGTGGATTCAGCAGCTCAACATGGCCACTGAAGTACATGTCAGTTTCTTTCTTTTATGTATATTCCTTGAATACATTTCATAATTCATAGTCTTCAAAAGTTGTAAGGACCTTCAGGTTTAATTAAGGTTTTGGCACCATCAGTGCTACTACAGAGTAAAGAAATTTCTGTTTCTGTTAGAAATTTTGGAAAGTAATAAAGTCCTATAATAAAGATGAAAAGAAGAATTCTTAATTTTTGTTGTTAGCTAACAGTTAGTATTACAGATTCATAATTCATTGACTTTTGTTAATATATTAAGAATATGGAATCTTAAAATTCAAATGAAGAAGAGCTTATCACTCCCTCAGATGAAGTGTTTTATTACCGATGTTTCTCATGGTCATATTTTAGCAAATTGAGGCATAGATTAGAAAGAGTTACTTTATGTCACACATGATGAAAGCATTGATAGTTCTCCCACACTCCTGAAATTATTTTGTTGTGTTTTGAATACAGAGTGTTTGAAAAATGCTTCCATTCATTTCAAATTCTGCTGATCATTATTGCAAGTGGCAGGAAGCACATAATGCACACTTGACCAGGTAGGAGGTCAATTATTCAATTTAAAGAAAATTTTGTGGACTATTGATAGAAGCAGATGAATGACTGATCATAATATCTTAGCAATTTTTATATATTAGAGACTATGTTAATGTATAAACAGCCTCAAAAAAGCAGATGGTACGTTAAAATCTTTCTTTGTTTGCATCATGGATTGATTTCTGTCAGCTTTTCTCTTATTTTATGCTGGTCATATAATTCAAAGCCACATGAGGCAAATCTATGACATTGGAAACAGCTTAATAAAAAATAAGATACTAAGCCATACTGAGGACAGCAGAAGAATCTCAAATGATTTTAACTCCAACTAGATGAAAGTATTATTACATTTTGTGCTTTCTGTAAACATGTAATTTTCTATATCTAAATATACTTAAATTATATGTGGAAATATCATTTGTAGTTTGTATGTGACCAGATTAGCACAAGTAACAGACCATTAAAATATCTGTGTTCAAATTAAAACTTGCACTTTGAATCTGATCTAGATCCTGGTCTAGATAATTATGAATGAAAAAAATACATTTACCTTTATTTAAAAATTATTATTTTTTTACATTTCCTGATTATCAATGAATAAAAATATGTCAGTTCAGAAGTAAAATACATGAAGAGTTTTTTTCCTTTACTATCACTTTTGGATAATCTGTGTTATGAGATAAAAATATGCTTATAAAATTTCTTTAAGTTTGCCAAAATAAGAATAATTTTAGAAAGACCTGTAGGTTAATTTCCTTAAAAGTACAGTTATTGCATTAAAATAAGATATATATATGTGTGTGTGTGTGTGTGTGTGTGTGTGTGTGTGTGTCTGTATAAAATTTCAGTGTCTGTATTTTCTCTTTTGTAAAAATGTCTACCTTATATTTGTGTAATTTGTGTAAAATATTATAATTATGATTTCTTAATATTAAAGATATTTCCTAATTTTCCTTGTACATTGAACCTGGCATGGTTCCATATATGTGGGCAAAGAACAAACTACTTTAAATATTATATTAAATATAAACAACTGTGGGATGATAAACATTGACTAAAAGCTACCCACAGTTTAAAATTAGAAAATAGTGCCATATGAATTGCCTACTATTTACATTTTGATAACATTTGAATGTCATATGAAAATAATTTTAAAATTAATAATAATAAAGATTTACATAGCACTTGTAACATGCTAGGCATTGGTCCTTAATAAAAGATATATTGTTATCCCCATTTTGTAAATATATAAACTGAGGCACAGAAAATTTAAGTAAACTGTGTTTACATAGCTGGCAAAATGTCAGAGTCTGGATTTGAACACAAAGTTTGTTACTAGTATCTAGTCTTTTAACTAATACTCTACACAGAAAATAATTAAAAAAAAACACACACACACAAAAGGGGAAATAATGTAACACTTTTCATACTGTCATGCTTGAATGTTAATGATTTTACAGAAAATGGTATTTTTTTTATAAAATAATCTCTCATGGAAAAGACCAAATTAAATGTTAATTCAATTTGCAAACATTATTCGTGAATTAATTATTGATTGGGTCACATTTAATTCAAAAGAACAGTAATGGTTGTCACCAGAAATCATATAGTGGGCAACTCCTCTTTCAAAGAAAGCATCTGAAGACTATAATATCTCCATTTTTCAATTGAGCTTTTGTTATGCAATTCCATTCAAGCTCTAAATATTTTCAGACTCTACTATTTCATTCTAAACTCCATGCTTTTATTTATTTATTTATTTTTGCCTTTTAATCAGCACTGTATCCTTCCTCTTTCAATTTGGCACCTGTGGGTGAATGACTTTAGGAAAAGCTTAGTGGCATGCCCTTTTGCGGTGAGATTGTTTTTAGCATGTGAAGGACAGAGAAACGGAACGGGAAGGAATACGTAAGAAATACAAATAAGTGAAGCAGTCTAAAAATGCAGAATGAGTCATTGTTACACTGGGCATATGTGATTAAATGTCTTCAAAACAGTGAGCCTCATCCATCAGCATCTTCATGCATTGGGAAATCAGATCATTCTGGGGGAGAACTGAGATAGTCAGTCCAGTCTGACAAGGCCATCTCCTCATGGTTACATATCACAGCCAAGTGTACACGTAAGGAATGCACCTCCTTGATTTGCAATCTTTTTTCTATAATGTGAAATCTTTGGATAGAAACGTGACAAGATAGGGGTGAAGCACATCTTTCTGATATCCGAAAGGGTATCACTGTTATGTAACTCAGTGCCAGAAGAAACTTTGATATACATGAGTGCATTAATAAGTATTCAATATAATTATAATGGCACTCTTGAAACACGTTATAGGTGCATTTCAGTGATCCAACAAATAAAGTAAATATATCAATTAAATAAAAATTACATATTGATGTGAAAGAAATTAAACTTCCAAAATTTATAAATTTATAAATATTTCTTATTCTCTAAAGTATGTTATCACCACAGTATTACAATGCAAACTGTTCTATTATTTTTGTTATATTGGTTTCAACATAAAGAGTCAATAACGTCTCCTTAAAAAATATAACGAAAATACACCTTTCTTTTTTGCTGCCTTTCTTCAATAACTATTTCTGTGATACTGACTGGTGTGCTTCTCATTTCCCAGTGGTTGTGTACTGCGTGCATGTTCAGTGTTTTAAAGAAGAAATGGGAATTGTTATAATCTCTATCAACATTAACTTTGCAAATGTTTAGCAGGTTTAATAGGTCTCAATATGAAAAGTAAATAAAAGCTGAGGCGTTATCCAGATATATTTCAGCCAAAAGAATGACGTTACTTACATTATACAGCTATTTAAAACAAAATAGTATTGTTTGTGTGTGAACTCCAAATAATCCCATAATTTTTCCCTCTGCATGAGTAGATACAGCCTTTAAAGCTATCTGCTTTATAACTTCATAGGCAGAGCTTCTTAGGTCTGAAATAATTTACTGAAGGGGCTTTTGAAAAAGATTTACAAAACCATGTCTATTTTCAAAATTGGAAGCTGAAATTGCTTTGCCTGTGCAGATATCATGACCCAAATCTTTTTCTGCAAAATATCCTTTTAAAATATGCTATCATTTGATTTATTAACTGGTCTACATACTAATTTTCCTTCTATTACTTTAAGCAGATTTACATGTTTCAAAGCAGGAGATAAAAAGTATCTCAAGTAAAAGCCAAGAAGACATTGCTATTTCAATATTCTGATAAACCATATTGAGCTTTTACATTAAAAGGCCTCATTGAGTAAAGATATTTATGAAAACTAAAGACTACCTTTAAATGGAATATTTTAATGGGTCAATAAATTGCATACATGCATACAGAATAAATGCTGTGAAATGTTTTGACTAAGATGCTGTGAAACAACAACAGTGAGAAGTTCTAAACAAAGCATTTAGTTCACAGCATAGATACACAAATAGAAGCAGACTATAGGTATTCCCTTAATACAGGCCACAACACATAGTTTAGTACTCTTTTTGTCAAAGACAATCAATTTTATTAACGTAGACCTCTCTAAAATGGTTCCAGTTGTTTCAGTGCTAATATTCAGAAAATAAAAGTCAACATTTGGAGATGAGGGTAAGTAATAAAGTAAGAAATATCAGCACACAGTAGCACACGGATAACAATCACATTTTGAGAATTTGTTGAGAGGCTGAGACTAAACAGAAGTACAGTTGTGGGTGGATAGAGATGGAAAGAAATACAAGTCTGATTGTGATAGTTTTAATATATGTTGGGCCAAATTAGTGTTTTTTTTTTTTTTTTTTTAGGTAAAAAAATCCTGCAATGGAAGGTAAACTAGCAAGATGACCCTTAGTGTGCGTTACATTTCGTTGAGCCTGTAAGTTTCTCTCTATCACCAGATGTTTTCCAAAGGAAAATAATAGGTACAAAAGTATCTATCACATCAACTATTTGATAATTTAAAAATTCTGTCAATTATTATTATTCGTATTTTCATCATCATCATCACCACCATTGCTATGCCTTCTACCCGTACTGTGCTGAGAAACAAGATCCACAGTCATACTCAGAACAGTGGTTATGATTTCTATTTTTTAAAAAATGAGTTTAAAAAGTCAATTCCCTTCCTCTTTTGCCCTGGATTTTAACAGTATTTGCCAAAGTAAATATGCTCATTGATTTTGGATTTGGCTACTCAAATAATGTCCCCAAGTTTTTCTCATAATCAATCTTGAGAATCTATTTCTACTACTTATGGATCATTCAAAATTTTATTTCCTATTTATGTGTAGCTGCCTGAGAACACAAAGCTCCTTACCTGTGTGGTAAAACTTCCCTGAAAATCCAAGGTTGAAGGTAAAATTTGCAACCTGAGTGCGCAGTAAATTTTGAGTCTCTAGTAATGCCTGAAATAAATAAGAAATTGACATGATTTTAGAAAAATAAATATGAAGTTTTGGGATGCCTCTTTTGCAAATGTGTATGCATGAGTAAAACAAAATGATATGAGCTTTCTTGCTTTTGATGGGTACTGTTATGCAGTATTCATATTTCAGGTATTATAATTATTGTCATTATTTTTACTGAAGGTCAGCATATTATGAAACAGTCAAGTCCTAAGCACAGTATGCATTGTTTAGGGGCAGCTGTCTAACTCCACAGCACTGAGATCATTTTTAATTTCTGTGTGAGACATTTCTTGGATTTCGGATTATTATACCTCCTTTACGTGGTGAAAATTTTTCAGAATTGTTGGATGTAGACAAGCCCTGTTTTCTTGGTGAGCAATAGGAGGAGAACTTCTGTTTGAATTGCAATTTACTATTTTATTTAACTGGGCTACCTCCTTTATCATTTTTAAAGGCATAATTATTAAATTGAAAGCTTGAGTTTGTACTTTACAAACTAAAGAGCAATGTATATTTTATAAGATATTGCTTGCAAACCTAGTTATGAAAAAGGAAAGACCATGTAAAAATAGATACCCCTTTTTGTTACTAATTTCATAACAGAAATTCTCTAAATGTGACAAACATTTCTCTAGTTTCTAGATTTGGAATTATACAATGTTAAAGTCTGGTTCGTGGACAGGATAATAGCAAACTGATAATAATGACACAGAATTAGTCTGTAAATTTGTTGCCAGTCCTTTCACTGCCATTATTCCTATGCCAACATGTATGGCATAATTCAGAACTCTTATAACATGGTCTGCATATTGATTCAGAATTGCTTTTTCTATTTTTAATGAATTTTTAAAGAGGACATACTTTGTACTGATTAGAATCAGAAGCTAATTTCAAACAAGAGATATTAATAAGACTGATTTTTGATTACCCCTATCCATCTGTTAAGGAGACTAAGGAGCCAGAGGTTTAGACAATTTTTTTTTATGAGTCTTGGTAGCTAAGCATTTGCTTCAAAGACTTGAGAACCTATTTATTCCTTTACAGTGAAAGGAGTCTCCTGATTAAACAAAAGATAAACCACTAAGTAACAAAAATTTTGATAAAATATAAAGTCAGTGGTTAGCCAAGACCACAATTAGACTGGGTGTCATCATGTTCAATCTTATTAAATATTAACAGCTAAGTAGACAAAGGCAAAAATAGAATCATTAGCTTAACTCAGATCTACAAAATATTAAAATACATTTCTCAGAGAGATTAAGCTAAATATTAAAAACAGTCGAGTTTAAAAGTCCATTGAACTAGTTGAGCATATTGGGAAATGCTCTGGAATATAGCCTTAAAATAAAAACATTATTCATTATTTCCCATAGTGAGTTTTATATTCTGGCTTTTTTTGGCCATATTCCATGTGTAATTTCTGAGTCTCCTTGAGGTTTTTAAAAAACGTATCCTGTCTGCTATTCTCCTCACCACTCCAATTTCATCCACTTAGGTTTCTTCCTCTGAGTTCTTGAAGTCATTCAGTATTCTGCATTTACTTGTCTGTGAAATGGGGTACATCTGAATATTTATTTTATACTACTATTATGAGAATTACACTGGATAGACATGGAACGTGTTCAGCTAAGTGTCTGGCAAATAGCATGAGCTCAATAAATACTGTTATTGATCCCTGAGTCTATCATTCTCTCTCCATCAGTTAGGTATCCTTGGTGCCTCCAACACACTTTCTATTTCTCCCAAATCACCATGTATGCTGCTTAAACTTACCTATCCCCCACCTCCTACATTTCCCCATGCCATTTCTCTATCTGCTCTTTTTGCCTAGAAAGCCTCCTTAGCTCCCAATCCCATTTCCCAAATCCCACACGTTCTTTATATCTCTGCCCAAATCCCAACTTTTTGTATAAAGCCTCCTCTGGTATGTCAAAGTAGAATCCTAAATTATTTTCTTAAGACTTGCATCATTTTTGACTTTATTGCATCCATCCTGTATCTTACGTTTTCCTCTACTCTCTGCACCTGAAGGTCATACAAAATGATTCAAACTAAAAAAATGCCAGAAATAAATTTAAAGGAGAAAAGTGCTAAACCATACAAATTAAAGAAGAAAAGTAGAAAAAAGAAAGAATTCAAATATAGGAAAAACTAAATAAAAACAACATTTAGTAACATGAGATACATAAAAATGAGTAAGGTTTGATGTATTCAAAATATGATAAAATTCATACTGATACACAGCAATAAATTGAATTAGCTTCATTTATTTTTGATTTTTATCAGTAACATTTTATTGAATGGTAATATGATAAACATAGTTCTTGGGCCATACCACAAGATGATATCAAACAATACAGATAGGATCTAGCATTTTACCAGGATGTTTTATAACACGGATTTTTATAGCCTTGTGTCATAGCTCTCCAAAGCAAATTCAGAGAGGCAAAAGTAAGTGGATATACTTCCACTGTGGCTAATTAGCCATATGAAGAACTTGACAGCCCTTTTCATTGTTGAAAAAAAAAATAGAGTTGTCAAGTCACGGCCTCCCAACATGTAGGCTGGATTAATGAGGGAATAAAAATTATAAATGCTATAAGTAAAAACAAAACAAATGGAAAAAAATGCAAATCTGAAGAAGTTTTCAAGGCTGCCTTGTTTAGTACAAGTAAATGTTCTTTGGTTTACAAACTTCGGAGAAGTTTTCATGTCTTTCAATGACAAAAGAGAGAAACAAATAACAAAGAATATACACAAAATTATTCAAACTAAAAAAAAAAATCAGAAATAATTTTAAAAGAGAAAAGTGCAAAGCCATACAAATTAAAGAAGAAAAGTTGGAAAAAGAAAGAATTCAAATATAGGAAAAATGTATATTGTCAGAAGAAATATTAGGGCAAGGATAATATTTTTAAAAAATTTAAGAATAAATTAAGCACAAAGTTATCTTATTCTTTTAAAACCCCTTATTTTGGAAAAACTTATTAATGGGCCAGAAATAAAATGTCTCAATTTGGGATAAAAATAAAATAGGAAAGCCTAGGATATAGCAGGTAGCTGTAAATACACGTTTTTCTCCCTGAATGTTTTCTGTGGAAACTAACTTTTGACTATACATAATAAAATGTGGCCAGGTTCAATGGCTCATGCCTGTAATCCCAGTACTTTAGGATGCCGAGGCAGGTTGATTCCTTGAGGTCAGGAGTTCAAGACCAGCTTGGCCAATATGGTGAAAACCTGTCTCTACTAATAAATACAAAAATTACCTGGGTGTGGTGGTTCATGCCTGTAATCCCAGCTACTGGGGAGGCTGAAACAGGAGAACTGCTTAAACTCCAGAGGAGGAGGTTGCAGTGAGCTGAGATCGCACCCTAGCATTCCAACCTGGGCAACAAGAGTGAATCTTCATCTCAAAAAACAAATAAAAAATAAATAAAATAAAAATAAAATGTGTTTAGAGTTTTGACAATAAATATTATTTGTTTGTGAGTCATAAGAAACAATATACATGGCTTTGAAATATTTCCTTTTACTGTTTATGAAGAACTCACCAAGTAACTTGATTGTATATTAAAGAGAATAAATGTATAACTTATTTATAAAATCCAATAGTTTATGATTTTAATAAATATTACTTGCATTAATTCAATATTTTCCTAATAAATTACTTACTATTTAAGCAAGCAAGTCCAGGCTAGGTGAGGTTGGCTCAGACCTATATTACTAGCACTTTGGGAGGCTGAGCTGGGAGGATTGCTTGAGCTCAGGAGTCAAAACCAACCTGGGCAACATGGTGAAGCCCCTTCTCTACAAAAAAATATAAAGATTAGCCTGGCCTGGTGGTGTGTGCAATGTACCTGTAGTCTCAACTACTTGCAGGGCTGATGTGAGAGGATTGCTTTTGCCTGGGAGGTTGAGGCTCCAGTGAGTCATGCTCATGTCTCTCTACCCTGGCTGACAAAGTGAGAGTAAGAGAGGAAGGGAGGAAGGGAGGAAGGAAGAAAAGAAGAAAGGAAGGAAGTTAGGAAGGAAGGAAGGAGGGAGGGAGGGATGTGGGAGGGTTGGAGGGAGGAAGGAAGAAGGGAAGGAAGGAAGGAAGGAGAGGGAAAGAGAGTCTAATTTTGCCCCATATAGCTACATACTATTTGATAAAGGCAGCAATGGTATTCATAATTTATTGTGTGTACAATTTTCTAGAGAAAACCGCTAAAATTGTTAATTCAGGGGCCCACTTTAGGAGATACTACTGATTTTGTCTGCCATGATGTCTAGAAATGTGCATTTCATCATATACTCCAGCTGGTTCTAATAAATGTCAAGCAATTAGTTTCAAGTTGCCACATGAAATGAATTACCAACATGCTTGTAAAATATCTACTCTCAGGTTTATCCTCTGGGGATTCTGAATTGGAAACAATAAAAATGAAAACTAAAATTCTGTTTTTAATGGTGATTTTAATGTCCAGCTTCAATTTGGACACATTACTAGCATTAGGACACTAGTGTTCTAATAATACTGAGTTAGTAATTATTTACATTAATTTCAATGTGTTATGCATATTTCTTAAACCATATCATAGTAGGTTGTTACTAATCAGATAACCCCTTCCCTAAGTGTACCTAGGTCATGTGCATACTTGTATTTTGATATAGTCTTTGATATGGTTTGTCTGTTTCACAACCCAAATCTCATGTCAGACTGTAATCTCCACATGTTTAAGGTGTGGCCTGGTGAGAGGTAATTGGATGATGAGGGTGGTTTCTAATGGTTTAGCACCATCTCCCCAGTACTGTCTCATGATTGAATTCTCACAAGATCTGGTTGTTTCAACACATGTGGCACTACCCACCAACACTCTCACTCTCTTTCTGTGAGTCAGTTAAACTTATTTGCTTTATACATTACCCAGTCCCACGTTTGTATTTACAGCAGTGTGAGAATGGACTAGTACAGAAAATCGATATCAGGAGCTGGGCACTGCTATGATGACACC